TACACTGTACTACTAAAGTATATAAAGTACAATTGCAATAACAATATAATGGCAATATGGCGATTTATGATAGGTTAGATTTTATAAATCATTTTTATGAACATACACTGATCTATGTATGAGTTTCAGAATGATGAAAACCTAAATACGTATTGGCAAAAAGTCCTCAAAATGTCACCTTTAACAGGAAACCCATTTCTTAAGTGATGTGTAAAGTCTTAATTTAGGTATTGGGTACTGATAAGATGAACCGATCCATCTATTTCAGTTCTGATATCAATATCAATACTTCAGCTTTCAGTATTTGGTGACACCCAAAATTAAGCAATACCAGTGTAGGGGCTGCCTTTTCTTCTATCAAAATACTGTTCACTCATTACAAAATGAATCAATTTGTGTTAACTGTTAATTACCCTGTTTGTAACTACTGAACTGCTTCCCACTCCTTTTTGAGAAATGTGCTTTTCTGTGTACTTTATATGATTATTGTAAAAAACAAATCAATCAATCAATATGCATTGTAAAAATAAATGTACAAATATTATGAAACATTCTGGGCCAATAAGTAAAACATCAATGAAAGGTCCAACCAGGATACTGACTCAATGAAAAAAAAAAAAAATTGGAAATGTAAACATGCAACTTTGAAAATACTGTCCACTGAACATACTGATTATTATTACTTTTCCTGCATTCCATAAGGCTGCTGTCAGCAGATCTGTCTCTACAGCACAATCATGGTGGTCATTATCATCATTAGTTCTAGCAGATTTCACAGTGTGGCTGTGGTGTTATTGGCTCATTTGTAGTCTGGACTGCTCTAAGATTCAAATCAATGACCCAACACTACGACATTGATACTATAAATCAGAAAATGATTAAAAGAGACGCCAATTTCATATTCAAACAACGGCTCTCTCACTGCTGACAAGTTATTTGAATAAAAACCACAGGGGGTAAGGAGGTCTCATAAATTCATTCACAATTCAATATCTTTTATCCTGTTTAGTCTCTATTCAAAAGTTAGCATGTAAAATATATACATTTGCTATGTTTTTATATTTTGCATTGTAACTCCGAAATAACACAATGTAGTTTGCAAGGTTGAATCTATGTTCATAAGTCATTGATCAAAATTGTCTCAGCATGTAGATCATTCAGTCATCCACTAACACGAAGGTTGGTGGTTCAAGCTCCTGTTGTATCCTTAGGCAAGACACCAAAGCCTGTGTTAATGATGTCAACCGACGTGATCCTTTAACTTGGCTCAGGTATCAGTATCTACATTCACGATTCCTTCACTTCGCTGGCATTTTATTGCCCAAGAATCAGGAGGTGCCCTGTTAGCATGCTAGTTACTGTTAACATTACAGTGACAGCCTGGTTTCTGGAGTTGTGAAAAGTGCTAATAAACCCATCACGGTGAATAATTAGGATGCTTAGAATCCATAAATTAAGTGAGGAATAACTTAATTTTTGAACACTGTAAAGTGTTCAAAAATGACCTAATTGCATTTTTCATGTTTTTAAGATTAGTATAAATCAGGTACAGCATCTTTAAAGGGCTCATATTATGCTATTCCTCATCAAAAACATACCTGGAGTTCTTATCTCAAATCAGAAACACTCTGTTCTACCTTGTGATGTCATGTTTTTAAACTCCACATACTAGAATCATTTGGATCATTCCAGCCTTGGAATTTCCAATGTCTACTAAAGTAAAGGTCAAAGGTAGCTCTTAACATAAAAACTACCACTTCAAAATATTACAAGGAACATTTTGAGCTTTAGAGATGTAGACAGGCTAAAAATACAGGATTACTCAAACTTATGTGAATGAAACAAAACAACTCCTGATATGTTTTTGAGAAGGAAGCAACACTGGCTTAGAACTCACAAGAGTCAGTTTTGCAGAATATACAACCTTTATATTTCAAACTTTATATTGTAACTATCACTATGAGCTACCCTATCTAAAATTAAGTTAAACAGGAAGTTCTTGTAGCATAATTATTGACATTATCAGTTTAAGTCATAAGCAAACTTCCTCTGCTTCCTGGTCACCATTCTGACATATTCTCTATAAATAACCATTTCTTTACATGGAATTGTTTACTGCCTCTGTACATTCCAAGTCCATTGCACTGACTCTTTAAATGGGAATAAGCATAATTAGCCCTGGGTGTGTGCTCTCCCACAGGGTCAAAGTCAGATAGGACATCCCAAAAGAGGAGAGCATGGGCGGGGCACTCAGGCCAATACAGATGTGAGGCTAAAGATAAGAACGAAAAAGGCTAACAGGATAATAGCTTCCTGTTGGGTTGGCGGCTTGTTTGTGGAGCAGCTTTGAATCCAGTTATCTGCAGATAGACAAAACAAAATGTGAAAAATAAAAGTGCTTCTAATGTTTATGCAAGTGATGATTTGGTCGCTATGACTAAGGCACCATGACAGGAAGAGGAAAGGTTAAACAGGAAGAAGGAAAGAATCTAGAGGGAACAATGTATCCGGGAGTTAAGGAGAGACACTACAGTATTCAGTTTGGTCTCTAAGCAAATAAGCTTTTGTGTAGAAACAGCAAAATGGTTTTAATATTTAATTTAATCAACTTACATGGGACATCTTTTGCCATTTTTTCATGACATCTGCATGATATCTGTCTGTATTTTTTATACAAACTGATATTAGTCTGATTGCCACTCCCTCCACTGCGTCCACTGCATTGTAAATGACCACTACATGACATCACAAGGTAGAACAGAGCATTTTGAGCTTTGGAGATGTAGACAGACTAGCAATAAAAGATTACTCAAACATGCATGAATGAAACAAAACACAACTCCAGGTAAAATTTTGATGCGGGGACAACATTACTTAACTTACTTAAAGCTCACAATAGTCAATTTTGTGTAATATAGCACCTTTAATTAGAATTACAGAATGATCACATAACTGTAATTTCTCTCCTGTGCACCCTGCGACCTGGACATCCTCCTCTGTAGCAGAAACTAGCAGAATCTCACTTCCACACTCTAGTTTCTTGTTTAAAACAGTGTACTGTGACCCCGCTCCACCTCTACCCCTCTCCCCAGGCTCTTAGCACAGGCTTATCTCTGCAGAATTTGGACAGGTCTGTCAGTGGTGCGCCTCAGGTAGAGCTCTGTGGAGGAGGCGCACAGATAGCATCGCTGTTTGACTCAGGGTCTCAAGGCCCGGTGGTCCATGGATGACCCCCATCAGAGCTATAGTTTTACCACTCTTGGATGAATGTGAAGTACCAGCAAGAAAATGGCTAGTCATTTTGTACACTATAATCCCCTAGTGGGTTGTAATTTTGGTCCTATGTTTTGTATTTTTAAAGGTCCTATATTACACAAAATTGACTCTTGTGAGCTTTTAACCACATTAGAATGTTGTTACCTCATCAAAAACATATGCACAGTTGTGGTTTGTTTCATACACCCATGTTTGAGTAATCCTGTTTTATTAGTCTGTTTACATCTCCAAAGCTCAAAATGCTCTGTTCCATGTCACAAAGCTGTAATTTTCAAGTTAACAGCTATCTTTTCCTTTTGTTAATTAGAGATTGGCAATTCCAGGACTGAAATCGTCCATATGATTCTAGTGATAGTGTATGGAGTTTAAAAACACAGTGGAGCACTTAATGTATTACCACATGACATCACAAGGTGGAGTGTTTTCAGTTAGCAAGAAGAATTCAGCCTAAATATGCAGGATTTGTCTGTTAAACATGTTATGTGTGAATGAAACAAAACACAACTCCTGGTATGTTTTTGAAGAGAAAACAGCATTATAACCTAGAACAGAAGACAGCATAATATGGGCCTTTTAAAGTATTTGACTATTTTTAAAGGGCTGTACTTGGTTTTCTTAAAAAACACAACTGTCCATTTTATTTTCAGCCTGCAATGGTCCAAAGTTATTCCAAAATGAGTTTATAAATGCTTTCCACAACTTTCAGTCCAGAGAGGAGGTTGCTAGTCACAGTAATAACAGCAATGGCTCGCATGCTAACCATGCACTTCCTGATTATCCAACAGTAAACCACTATAATACACAACTAGCTTATTTTAACCTCAAGAGCTGGTGATAAAATATATCTGTACTGTACCAAGACAACGTTTGCTCAAATACATGGGAAAAATTGTGTACAAGCCCTTTAAAGTATGATATAAATAAACGAATAATTATCAAATAAATATTTGCATAAATTAATACAACAGATGTCATAAATCTGGTAATATTGTCTATCCACATGCTATCCAACGTTGTGAATAACTCGAGTAAAATTTTGTGTTCCATTTCTCCATTCATTCGTTTGACACAAGGACAGTGAGTTGTCATTGGAGCTCGTCTGTTCATTTCAAAGAGCAGAAGAAAAGCAGTCTTCACTTTCTTTGCCAGAGCGAGGCCACAGACGTCCATTCAGACTGTTTTTTCATGGTTCAAAGTGGCTTCAACTTAACTAGGTTTCCAGGAACAAGGCAGAGCTACACAAAGAATAGTTTCAATGACAAGGTAACGATGGATATGTTATCTAGTAGTACTTGATATAAAATACCATGTTTAAAGAGGGGGTATTATGCAAGCAGTGAATATACGAAAGCAAGATACAAAACAATATATTACAACTACTACTACTATAAACCTGATGCAATGTGCAGTAGTAGTTACAAAACTGAAACGAATGAAACTATTTAATACGTTCTTTTTGGTGAATATAGAATTTTCAAAATGATTAAAGCTAGCATGGTGACCTAAATACTTGTTCTGTGTTAACAATTAAAACCCCACAGAAATGTAATACCTCCTGTGAAAACACAGTTTCAAAATAATAATAAAAATAATTCATGTATTTTTTGTGTAGTTTGGCAGTTTGGGTGTTTTGTGTAGTTCTCTAACACACAAGCCGAGAAAATGTATTAATTCATAAATAAAATTGTATACAGCAGTTTTCCAGTAGTTGTGTGTGTACTCACTCAGCAGCTGGCAGCGCAGGACCTGGAGGCGTGTCTTCATGGTATCATGTGGTCCGGCTCCTCCTCCACAGTGCTCATGGTTCTCTGGAGAGCAAAAAACACACAGTTATAACATGTATTACCAATGTGCTTATAGTGTTGTGAATTAACTGAATACATGTACTGAGAATAGGTATTCAGAGTACGGATTCCGAGTAACTGTATTCTCTTTCATTTGATGGTGGTCAGGAAACAGTTACTTTTCTAAAATCAAAAGAAAGCAGGATCTTGATGCTACTTGATGATACTTGATCACACAAATTAGGCTACAAACTGCACAATATTAGGGAGAAAAATAGAAAACATCACTTGTGTGCAGTTTTTCCTTCCGCAATTAGTGATAGGAAATGAAGAAATAAGAAACAGTGAAACAAACATAAAACTGTGACAATACACTATAATTTAAATGCAACTATTCAGAATACAGTACTCTGATTGGACCATGTAAAATACTTTTTAATACACGTACAGGTATTCAGTATTCTCTAACTAAATACATGATCAAAGTGTGCTTATAGTAGTGCAGTTAGGGTCTGCTTTTGGTAACACGCTAGTTAATAATAAAATGCATAATAAGTACTTAATTACAACTTTGCTAGGATTTACAAAGTACTTTCAGTGCATTTTTGTCTAAGGCTGTATTTTGTGAGTACTAACCCATTAATTATTTTCTTCCCATTAAAGTAGTGGAGATTACAATAGATGTTTTTGTGCATACACCAGAATCTTTATAAACATGAATAAGTGTTTGATTAATACCAACTAATAGCTAAGTAACAGCTAATTATTATACCAGTTGCCACTTAGTTAGCTATTAATATGTGGTCCCTAAACTAAAGTGTTACCCTGCTTTTTATTTCTATTGATGGGCACCCATTTCAGCCTTTTTGCTCTAGGCCTCCAAAAATGACATAGACGGGCCTTGTGATCAGTAAACATGCACCAAGTGACTAATTCATACTCATGAAGGTGAAAGTGCTTTGAGAATAGAGGGTGGTTCCCGGAGTTTTAGCGGAGGAGACAGAAAAAAGATGGTTTCACTAATGGATTCATTCAACTACCAGAATCACATAGAATCTATATACGATACACCCACACTATACATTTCACAATAAAAGCCCAGATTGGATTGCAGCTTCCTATGCTTTTGGCCTTAAATGGACACTGGCATCCCAAGGTAAAACCAATTACGAAGCATTAAACATTGACCAGTAGGCCTGTCTTTCAGTGTGTGACAGCGAGGCAGGGACCCAAGGGTGCTGCTCAGGGGAATGAGTCATCCATAGCTCTTTGCCAAATAAGAGCGTGTGTTAGTAAAGCACTTTTATCAAAACGCCCTTGGAAAACCCTCATGTCTAAAAGCACATACAGAGAGGAGAGCGTGGGTAATTTGGTGCTATTGTAATATGGGGTATTGCACTGGCAGGAGAACAAGGTGAATAGAAGGGTTTTGTGTTTTGGTGGAAAGAAAAGGGGGACTCAAACGCCCAAATTAAAGCTACAGTCTGGAACATTTTGGAATTTTAGCCTGAATTGAAAACCATAAATAAGTTAGCTTGAGGTTTCTATAGTAATTTTCACAAATTTCAATTCAATTCAGTTGCTTTATTGTCATTTCACGTATTTCACATTTCACAGATTTCATGTTAAATTAAACAAATTATCACTTAAAGCCATAATATGTAATATTTAACCCCAAAACACTACTACTACTAAAATAAAAGCAAGTTTATTTCTTATGGATGTTTTAATTTTGCTGAAAAACACAGAAAACTTGCATCTCCACAAACCTGACTATTTGGTCTGTAGGGGGCACTCTCCTGCTTGCTGTGCTGTTTCTTTGGCTATAATATTCCACAGTATGGCATAAAACGTATCTGTCTCCATGGAGAATGTTGGAATACGGTTTTAAAGTGCCTATTGTAGGTTGAACTACTCATTTTACTAAAACACAAAGATTACAAAACAATTTTTACCCCAGTTGGGCCACTTTTTAGGCTTCAGATTTTACTTCCAGGTTGTAAATCTTGACAACATGCTAGGGAATTCCATAACTGTTACCTAGCAACCATGTCGTGCACTGGGCCAAAACTCCTCTAATTTATTTGACAAATAAACTGTTAAAAAAAAACACCTTCATTTTGTTGAAATTATATTTAAAGTATGAGAAAAATGTGTTTCGAATGTGGAAATTGTGTCAAACTTTTGGCCAGAACTGTCTTGTTGTTATGTCGTCAAACCCTCTTCTTCCTGCATTTTTCAACAATTTCAACATTTCTTCACTAATTGCTTCTTGTTTGGTCTAAAACTATACTTTATAGTTAAAACTTTATAATATTATTCCACCAGATAATGTAGAAATTAGAGAACCATCAAAACCTGTCATACATACTTTAACTTTCCATCTCCATCATGCAGTTGACTTTCCAAATAAAGAAAGTAACATCACTTTAATTCTAAATAGGGACAGTGATAAAGTCAGAGGATTGAAAACTTCTGGAGGGAAAAAATGGAAAAGACTGTTAAAATGATAATAAACCATACAGAATTGCCTGTTTTGAAATGACCATAATTACTGAAAGAATTTGCCAAAAATATTTAGTTCTGTGTTGTATCCAACATGGTGATATATTTAAAACAAAGAAAAAACTATTCTAAAACATTATTAGAAAACACGACCAAATATATTTATTAAAAATGTATTAGATCAAAAATGTAACTGCTTCCTTTCAAAGACAACTAAATTTCCCAAATGCTACTCCCAAAACATGTAGGAAAAATAACACCACCTGCTTTCTGATATTTTCTGATAAAACCCAGGCAAGACACAGGCAGGATCAATTCTCTATATTGTGAGAACAGTGTCAACATTTAATAGCTATAAGTTACATGTGGCAATAAAAGGAATGTTTTGAAACCACCACAATACAAAGACACAAGAAAACAGCCCTACACCTATGAGCAGACATATTAGATATTGATCTAGACTTTATGACAGTCCAGTACTGTTTATAGAATAGCTTGTGTACAATCGATGAGATTGCAAGAGCAAATAATTAGGAAAAAAACAAAGTAAATTACAAGAAAAATAGGATATGGTGGTGGAGTGGTTAAGATTCTCACCTCATATCGATAAGATACATGTTTTGATTCCTGAACTGCCCATACTTTGTAGCATAGCTATTGCCTCTGAAGATATTCCCAGTGCAATATATCTGTGTGGTTATCAGTATTTGTTCGATACTGAAAACTTCCCTGATATTGAGCACTGATATTTATTCCAAGCGCTTCTGGCTCCATTTCACTTTGCGTTGAAAACATGCTCACCCCTCTCTCTGTAACTGCTGCTATCAGACTCAGTTTGGTCTTAAAATGTTCATATTAACCCACTCAACATTATCCTGGTGTTTTTATTTTGTTATTTTCTCGGTAAATCAAGCCTCGTGAGCTTCAGTCTATGGTACCAATACATACAGTATGTCTCTAACCTGTTTCATATAACTTGAGAGGCTCAGTGCCCAGCCTGTGGTGTGTGCATGTGTCTGCGATGGTTTGGCTAGCGTCATGTCCCTGCAGGATAATGAGCTCAATAGCACAGATCAGCTCAGCCTCTCCACTCTGATTAGACATGATCAAGGCTAGAGGAGCTCATTCACTCTCTGTAATAAGGCTGTGGAGAGAGGAGACGGGTGAATCATAAATAAACGATAGAAAACAATATCCTTTAAGGGCCCACGTTAGGCTATTTTTGCTCTACATTATAATGCTGTTTCCTCCTCACATTCACTAGAATCATTTGGAGAATTTGAGCTCTAAAATTGCCAATCGCTACTGAGGTAAAAGGTAAAAGGTAGCTGCTAATTTGGAAACCACTACTCCTACATGACATCACAAGGTGGAAAAGAGCATTTTGAGCTTTGGAGATGTAGACAGACTAATAATAAAGGAGTATTCAACATGTGTAAATGAAACAAAACACAACTCCAGATATGTTTTTGAGGAGGTAACATCATTCTAACATGGCTTATAGCTCACAAGAGTCAATTTTGTGTAATACATCAAATCAGATTTCAATACAGATACTACATACTATAGATCTGAACGGTTTCCACTAGGGGTGTAACGATATCCAAGTCTCACGATACGATATTGTCATGATATGAACCTCACGGTATGATATTTATATAGTGGGAAAGCTCACGATATAGTGGGGAGGCTCACGATTACGAATGTAACAATATCCAAATCTCTCAGTATGATATTTTCACGATATACGTCTCACGGTACGATATTTATTGCAATATTTTCTGGAGGCTAACAAAACTGTTAATACGATACTTTTTGCTCTTAAAATGCCTTGACAAGACTTAATCCAAAGAACTGACTTCAAAGTGTTTAGAACTGTTATTTCTTCTTGTCTGCACTCAAATGGAGCAAAGGATCATCGTCTATGTAGTTCTCACCATAACGCTTAATTTAAGCAAAGAGACTTGTAATTCGATATATTGTGATGGTCCACGATATTATTGTGTGAACTTTGACGATATGATATCACAATATTTCGGTTATTGTTACATCCCTAGTTTCCATGCTCTGTTTACAAGTAAATGTGCTCATGCAACAGTTGTCGTGGGTTTGCTCCATAAATATTCAAAATCAACTGTTGCTTTCTCTAATAATTTCTTTTTTTCCCATCACGTCGACACATGGCAGTTACAAAAACCCACATATTTTCAGTAATACTGCACAATGGCGTGTTGAGGCAGTAGGTGTTAGCCTGAGAGTGCTGTCTACTTATCAGTTGACATTAAGCATACAAAACTGTGGATCACATGCTCTCCTCCTACACTTCCTCCTCCTCCTCTTCTTCTGTTTGTGAAAATAAAGGCCAAGCGAGCAGCAAAAAGTAGTGAGGTCCAAATCGAAACAGCCAATCACTAACACGCTTATTTTATTAGTCTGACTCTAGCGACCTTGGCTTTGGACTCCATTGCTATACTTACTAGATATACAGCCCCCAGCCAAAACATAACTGCTTTCTATTT